CAAAAGCCCCAATTCCAGAAACCTGCAACCCTAGAAATTGAAAATGGCCAAATCGCGTATGTGGCACAACAATGCAATTAAACCTAATGGTTAGCTCTAGAAACTCATAAGGAACATAAATCCACAGTTAGAATGTCATGATGATGCTTAGAATGTAAAACACGATTGCCACTTTTTTTGCTGTACAGTTTCAGATTGCTTTACCAATTCTTCGCGTATTGATGAATGTTAGGGATTGTAATGTGTTCAGAATTTGTCCAGGATGCTAATGGAATGAAAATTGATGCTTGAATCCACCTCCAAATTAGTTTTCAGTGTTTGAGTTTTAAGGCAAAATTTCAAAATGCAAAAGCTTGTTTGGGCGCAGCTTATGATCTGTTAGGCTTAGGGTTTGACTTAGTGATTATAATGGAATGGAATTGGCTTGCTAACTGACCTTAATTCATGCCTAGGAAAGAACAAGTCTTAGGGTTTTCACCCTTAACCATTTTTCCTCCTTTTTAGCCAAGACCTAGACCTAGTGTGCAATTTAACCCTAGCCTGAGTTCTTGAGTTGGCCCATGATATATGGAAATTGTTCAAGTTCACATGACACTATTCCATTGGTTTTTGAATTTTATTTGAATTTTCAAAGATTTAAAATGAATTAAATTATTAAAAATTAAATAAAATAGAAAAATCAATATTTGGTCTTGAAATTAATCATGGGACACGTGTGTGGCATGACAAGGATGAATCAAGTGGAAAAAAGTGGGCCCTTTTGTCAAAAATTGGAGTTTCAAGGATAGTTGACTTTTGCCATTTCACAAAAATTTCCCAACTTCTACAAGGCGTAACTTGCTCAATTTTTAAGCTTTTCACATGTTCTTGGACATTTTGAAAAGGTCTTTGAGTCCTTTAACCAATTCCTTTGGTCCCATGTCATTTTGATTTACCAATCTCAAGTTATGGCCTTTGACTTAAAGTCCCTTTTTGTTGACTTTTGAAAATGACCTATAATGTTGAAATTGATAACTTTTTGTGAGAGCATTTCTTGGACTTGAAGTATGAAGATGAGTTGTAGGAAATGTCTTTCTCTTCAAAATGAGCTTTGGATGGAATTTTTCTGATAATCCATGTGAAAGTTATGCCCTGGTCAATTTCAGTTGACTTTTTCAGCTGTCCAAATATAGCAACTTTTGCATCTTTGATGATTTCTGAGCCAAATTCTGAGAATCATGATCAAGCATTGATCAAATGATGTTTGTGGCTTCAAAATGATATATTGACCAAAAATTTGAACTTTTGACTGCCAAATGACCATTTTGCCCCTACAGTTGACTGTAGTGCAATTTAGGGTTTTGACTGTGCAATTTTGAGCTGAATGCCTTGAAACTTGATATGAGGATGCTTGACCATGTTTGTAAGCATATGAGACTTGATTGGGCCTTTGAACACTTCCTTTTCTTGATCAGACTCAAAACCCTAATTTTGACTGTATGGGAGACTGTTGACCTGCACAACCCTTGGGGAATTTTGTAGCTTGGCTTGGCAATTTCTTGAGGAATATGGGAGGGCAAATTTTGGGGTATAACAATTGCTATCATGACTATACGATAACCCACGCCCGTTCCTTCAAATCCAACGATGGGGCTTCTTACCAAATCAATGGTAAGATAGCAAAATCTAAAGGAGGAGGAAAAGAACACCTAAGACCTTTTGAGTAGGTAGATTCGCTCCTAGTTGCTTGCTTGCTCACAACAAAACATTTTTACACCAACACTCTCATTTGAAACATTTTCAAAAGACAACACTTTGTATGCGTTCTTATAGAGACGAGAACTATCACAAAGACACCTTTTCAAAATCACTTTCAAAAACACCTCTCACAAACACCTCTTTGAACTATTTTCGAAACAAACACTTTGTATGCGTTCTTATAGAGACGAGAACTATTACGAAGTTCCATTTTCAAAAATACTTTCAAAAACCACACACAAAGCACAATTTCAAACAAAAGAAAGTGATCTAGCAAGTAACTAAGAGCCCATGGAAAACCATGGATGAAAAGGGTGCTAATACCTTCCCTTTTCATAATCTACCCCCCGAACTCAAGAAACAATCTCAAAGGTCTTTCCTGTGTTTTTTCACCTTTCCTTTTGGATAAAAGAAAAGTCGGTGGCGACTCTTGCTAACCGCAACATTTGCGATAAAACGCAAAACCCTCAAGTCAGTTCTCCCACCGTATCACAGAACTGGCGACTCTGCTGGGGAAGATTTTAAAAGTGGGGTTACCTTAGGGTTAGATCACATTTATTTGCTTACATTGTTTGATTTGTTTTCTTTAGATTTTGGTTCCTTGTTTGAGTTTGTTTTGATCCTCTGCCCGGATCTGGGGCACCTTTTTAGGTAAGTAGCAATAGATTGTGGAAACTGTGCGGGATATACTGACATGGTCTAAGCAATAGCTACATTAGTATGACGCATTTGTTGGTACCGGTATCCCTTGTGTTGAAACGAGGAGAATACGGGGCCACTGAGCGGCATCATGAAGCACTAACTGACCTTAGAACCTTACTTGACCAACTTGGACATTAGGAAGTAGTGAGATAACCGGCTTTGGTGCAGTCCGAAGTTGGTTGATACTCGATACTACACTCATTGAGACCGTACTTTTGGGATATCTCGACCGTAAGAAAAGATTGATTGAGCTGAGATAATGCCTAAAAGAAAGGTCAGTGATATTGAGATCTCTTAGAACCCGGTTACTATTAACTAGGACAGGTTATCCCCAGATTGTGAATTTTATCTTCTCCAATGGATGGTTGATCTCTTCAATATGATAGAGATAGTTCGTTGTGAATCTTGTCTTCTCCAATGGATGGCTGATCTCTTTGATGTGATAGAGATAGTTCATTTTGAATCTTATTTACTTCAATGGATGGTTGATCTCTTCGATATGATAGAGATAGTTCGTTGTGAAATCTTATTTACTCTAATGGATGGTTGATCTCTTTGATATGATAGAGATAATTCGTTGTGAATTTTATCTTCTCCAATGAATGGTTGATCTCTTCTATATGATAAAGATAGTTCGTTGTGAAATCTTATTTACTCCAATGGATGGTTGATCTCTTCAATATGATAGAGATAGTTCGTTGTGAATCTTATCTTCTCTAGTGGATGGTTGATCTCTTCGATATGATAAAGATAGTTTATTGTGAATCTTATCTTCTCCAATGGATGGTTAATTTCTTCGGTATGATAGAGATAGTTCGTTGTAACTCTTATATTCTCTAATGGATGGTTGATCTCTTTGATATGATAGAGATAGTTCATTATAAAATTTATCTTCTCCAATGGATGGTTGATCTCTTCGATATGATAGAGATAGTTCGTTGTGAATTTTTTCTTCTCTAATGGATGGTTGATCTCTTAAATATGATAAAATAGTTCATTGTGAATCTTATCTTCTCCAATGGATGTTTGATCTCTTCAAAATGATAGAGATAACCCGTTGTGAACTTTATCTTCTCCAATGGATGGTTGGTCTCTTTGATATGATAGAAATAGTTCGTTGTGAATCTTCCATCAAGTGGTTACCTTGTAAGGAACTTGTCTGTTATTCTTTCTAGGTGAAATACCTTGGTTAAAGAAGAGGTTGAACCCTATTCTCATAGCGAAGTTTTATTATTCAATCGTATTTTGTATTAATTTTAATCTGAGCTGCCACTTGTATGGTAGTAAGTAGTTTTCTCCCCAGTGGAGTTACACTTTCTTCCCCAGTGCATTGATTATTCTTTCCCCAGTAAAGTTGGATCCCTTCTTCTAAAGTTGGACTAGAGTGTATATGTTATTTATCCCTTAATTATTTAATAAAAAATACTTATATATAATTCCATAGGTGTTGTTCATACTTTTCTCCAATAAAAATAGGACAAATACACCTAAATATCTTTTAAGGAGTAAAACTAGGAAGAAATTGCATATGTGTAGGAGGAAATTATACACTTGTCATATTTTCAATGGAAAAAAGTATAAACCACACCTAAGGAAACACACCTAAGTATTTTCCTTATTTTATTCTTTTGTTATTCCCCGCAGAAGTCAAAGTCTTGAATTCATATTATATCATAAAAACATATTTGTGGCATCTTAGGGCCAGAAATTGTGCGTTTTGTATTTAAGTATCTCCCATCACGTCGAGACAAATATTTCAATCTTAGAAGAAACTTAAATATGGGCATCTGTTGTACCCTAATTTTTTACCTAAGATCCCACGTCCTTATCTTTCTTCAACCCTGATTTTCTTTTGTTCTTCATTCATTAAAGAGAGGTGGTTTTATGATCAATTTTTTTAATTCAAAATCATCCCTCTGAATTCTTTTCCCTTTCCTTTTCATTCAAATAAGTGATTTCACATATATTTTTAGTTATTTTCTTTGGGATTTTGTCATCTTAGTGCAAGGTTGTGTTGATCGTCTATTGCAATATTATTTTGTTTTCTCATCTTGGTGCGGTGTTTGTTCGGTTCAGATTGACATATTAGTTTCAATTCAATGCATATTCAACCAATGATTTTGACGTCATCAATGCTGCAGACTCGGATACATGAGTATTCCGAGCATTTCAATTTCGTCATATTTATAAGCTTTGTCACATTTGTAGGCATTTTACCATTATATGTTATTAACGTGAGTGATGTGAGTTTGTTTGCAGATTCATCATTTCGAGTTATAGCAATTTTAAATTTGTATTATTTGATGTATTCTATCAATTTGAATATTAATTTAGAATTCATTCAAATATGTATATTCGAGGTTTTATGAAATGGTAAGTTACATAAGGAAAAATAGGTGCAGATATAAAAGGTTAGGTAGAAAAAGCAATATGAAAAAGTATGAATAAGGGCCTAGTTATAAGAGTGAGATAGGCCCACCCAGTTTAAAGACAAGTATAATAGCGATCGCGTGTGTCTATCTAGCTATCTGTGTGTGTTTGTTTGTTTAATCGGAAGAAAGATGCAAGACGGTGATGAAGTTAACATTCAAGAGTTGGCCTCCAATCTCACCATTTACAGAGATCAACTCAACCAGGTTTCAATTTTCTAGGGTTTATCTTTAATTCTATGATTCATTCCACTTTATCTGATTTTTTTATTATTTATTTATTAGGTTAGAGAACTTTTGAACGACGAACCCTCTAATTCTGAGTATGTCGACATGGAAAGGGAGCTCTGCGAGGTTTGCTTTCTTCCCTTATACTCGTTATCCTCTGTTTCAATTCTCAATTCATAACTCTCTCGCTTTCAAGGTAGGTATTGATTTATCGCTAACAGCTTTGGATTCATGGAATCGAATGGAGTGATTAATTTAAGAAGCACTTTTATAATTCAAACTGCCGAACCCTGAATTAGATCAATATGTAAAAACAGAAACTTTTCAAAATGCACATCACTTCTATCTATCTTGCTTCTCTGCAGGTGTGGTCTGTCTCCTGATGTCTGCCACGCTTTCTTCCTCTCACCTGATATTGAGATGTTCACAGAGATTCTAAGTTAGAATTTCCACATTTATTTGTTTGCTTTATGATGTAAACGTTTATGTCTAATATTTTTCTTTTACTCAATTCTATCTAATGTGGCCTAAAATTCTGCAACACAGGTCATTGCTTTGACCGAAGAACTCCTCACAACTGCCAAGCAAAATGAAATTTCCGTTGCCACTCAATCTCCAACTTTATCAACATCCAAGGAGAATAAACCGGTACATACTTTTTGACATTTTACTAAATCAAAACTGCTCATTTCAAATGTTGCCTTTATTACTAGTCTTGGGTAGTCCAGTGGTCATTCATTACTTTAATCCAAACCAATCAAATATTCTCATTGGTGCCTCCAATATTTACTTCACACTGCTTCTTTCTGGTATCATAATCATCTTATAAAATTATGATGCAAGTTGTGGAGGATACAATTGAAATAACCTTTGATGATTTGAATGCAGTAGTTGATTACTGATCTTTAGTGACGTTATATTATTTCATTGTTTAGGAGCTTGATAGCCACTTTGATCATCAAGACAGATTTCCCATTGGCACCAGAGTTCAGGCAGTTTATAGTGAAGATGGGGAGTGGTATGTTATGTTTTTTTTTCCCTTGTTTTGTAGCAGTGTTTTTTTCCTCCATTTTATTTGCTTATGTTTTCTTCATGTTCAATTTGTTGTATTGTGAATGTCCAGGTATGATGCAACAGTTGAGGCATACACGCCAAATGGTTATTATGTTAGTTATGACAGTTGGGGTAATAAAGAAGAGGTATAGTTTCAAAACTACTTGATGCATATTTATTCTGCAATCCTAGTCATATTACATTATATGGTATCTGCATACTTTAACTCCAAATTATTTATTATTGCATGATTTTAGTGGTAACTTGCATTGTTTTGATGTTAGAGAAGTAGGGGAGGGATTGAGTTCTAATGAAAGTTTTTTCTTTTTCAGTCGATCTAAATTTAACAATGATAGTATTAAGAAAGAAATCCATCTTTGGAATTTCCAACCTATTGCTATTATAATGATCTATCTACTATCTACCTTTTTTCAATATTATACACCATGACATGAGCCACAAGTACATGATTTAGCTGGTTCGCAAACGACACAGAATCATGATAAAATTTTCTTTATGTAGGTAATAAGTATGAAATCATGTAAAAGGTTTTAAATCAAGTAGTCAGCATGCCATCATGTTTATTGAAGTGTTTTCTAATTTTCTGTTTAGTTGAGAAAACTATTGCCTGTACCTTGTGCTATGCGGGTGCATCATGTAGTCTTAACACTCCACTCATAAAATGCATCATCAGAATATATGCAATACAAATGAGCCACTAACTTGTCATTACAGTCTAAAACATCACTTTTTTGTTGTTGAAAAGGGTTAAATAAGGTTGTAGTTCCTAGTATTAAATTAGGAATCTTTCAAGTTTAGTTCCTATAATTTTTTTAACCATTTTTAGTCTATTGTAGGTAGATCCTGCTAATATAAGGCCAATTCAAGAAGGTACTGTTGATGCTTTGGTAGAAGCGGAGCGCGTAGCCGAAGCTACAAAGCAGGCTATCAAAAGAAAAATTGCGCAAGCTGGGTCTGTTGATTTTCAGTCACGAACTCTACCTGCAAAGCTTCGTATAGAGCCCGATGACCCTGAGGATGTGGTGAGTGTTGCTGGAATTTTCACTAAAAATGAAAAAGCTTATTTATTTTATATATTGAGTGCTTTAATTTTCTGTCTTTGCAAACTAGATTTCCTTGGTTTGATCTCTTGTTCTGTTGCCTACTTTTGGTGATGTATATTTGTTTTCTGCAAACAGTTTTGTTGGTATCGGTGTTCTGAAATTGTTTTTGTTCAATCCACATTTATCTGCCAGTTTTCTAGGATGCCATCAATGACATGTTTGTTAACTCTGATTACAGAAAATTACGAAACGGAAGAAAATACATGCCTTTAAGTCTAAGATGCGGATGGAACAACTTGAAGTCACACAAAATAAGCGGCAAAATGCTTGGCAGCAATTCCAGACAACCAAAGGAAAAGCAAAAAAGGTACCATTCTCAATTTCTCAATTTCATATGAATATTGTATTTTGTGATGTATTGAATGTGGTTGGTTTTGGTCCCAGATTGGTTTCTTCTCGGGAAGGAAGCGGGAGAGTATATTTAAATCTCCTGATGATCCTCAAGGAAAGGTTGGTGTGACTGGAAGTGGGAAAGGTTTGACAGAGTTCCAGAAAAGAGAGAAGCATTTTCATCTCAAGGATGGCTCAATCGAGAATGATGAATAGAATAGATTACGAAGTATCCTGAATGATGTATATGTAACATGCTCAAACCAAGCACTGTAGTGGCTGTTATGCCAAACTAAACGATGCATGTTTTCAAGTGAAATATCTGAGACTGGTTTCAGATTTTTATTTTGGCCCTTTATTGTGTGTGCAATACTTATGGGGATATCGTCTCAATTTAATGTGACCAATCAATAAATTAGTACTTTTTGTTTTTTTTTTAAGTAAAATTTAAGCTTAAATGTATTTTTTGTCATGTGTTTTTAATTTTTTTATCCTCTATTTTAAAATTTAGTGTTAAAACAGGGTTTTTTTTAGCTTTTTTGGTCTCTGCACTTTTCACTTTTACACATGTGACATCTTTATTTAATATGGTGGTACTGAGTGCCAAGTAATGTTCATAATATTATTTAATATTATTATAAATAATTATCTTTAAAAAAATTAGAATTGAGTTATTATATTTTTAAATATTTTTTCAGAACAAATAAATAATATTTAAGCATGACTTGTCTCTGAAGTTACAATAGAAGTTGGAGATTATTCATTCATATGCATCCGGATCCTTTGAATTAAAGTGAATGGGAGGTTATTAATCTTCATAGATATATTCATACTTGATGGGAAAAAAAGTTAATATGGTGGTACTGAGTGCCAAGTAATGTTCATAATATTATTTAATATTATTATAAATAATTATCTTTAAAAAAATTAGAATTGAGTTATTATATTTTTAAATATTTTTTCAGAACAAATAAATAATATTTAAGCATGACTTGTCTCTGAAGTTACAATAGAAGTTGGAGATTATTCATTCATATGCATCCGGATCCTTTGAATTAAAGTGAATGGGAGGTTATTAATCTTCATAGATATATTCATACTTGATGGGAAAAAAAGTTAAGTATTCACATATTGCAAGAGATTCAAGCTATGACATGAGGTGGAAAAGAAAAGTGAAGTATTAACATATTAAAAGAGATTCAAGGCTATTAGTTGAAAAATAGGATGAATGTGACATCAAGAGGTTGAGAACTGATGCAGGTGATGAATATATCTTAAGTGAATTTTGCACAATTATGTGAGAAGGGAGGAATTGAGAATGAGATAATAGCTCTTTACACATAGCATTGTTGAGAGAAAGAACAAAAACATATTGAACATGGCAAGAAACATGCTTAAAACAAGACATCAAATTGTTGAAGATCAAGTTGTTAGTTGACAAAAAAATTAATATTTGATCTAACAAATCATCCAATGAATCATGGAAGGAGCAATCATATACAGAAAAAAAGTTAGCAATCATATCATGGAAGGAGCAATCATGTAGTATTTCCTAAGAGAACCAGTTGACCAAGTTAGCAAGGAGAAGTTAAAGACTAAATATTGCAACAGTGAGATACAACTTGAAGCTAAATATTGCAAGAGTGAGAGACAGCTTGCAAGATATTATAACCAACCAATTGAAGAAAAGAAGATTTGAAGGCCTCAGGATTCATGAGTGAGATACAACTTGCAGATATTATAATCAAGCAATTGAAAAAAAACAAGATTTGAAGGTCTCAAAGAATTGATGAGGACGAGAAGATTAGTTGATGTGAATTAGAAGGAATATTGACAATGTAATCTAGCTATTGTGACAATTTGATTGTGCATTGTCAGTTTTGACTTTTAGTTAGTTGGTTGATTTTCTAACTATATGTATACTCTCTCTCTCCATGCATTGTAATTCATTAAAATCATTTGAATAAAACACTCTCCATTCTAGTTTCATTCTACCCCTCTTTAATTTCATCTATTTTTTTTTAAGCCAATTACCATGTGATGCAAGTCATTCCAACATTATACACCAATAGTGCAAATATATTGTATACAAACATCCAATTGATTTTTCCAATATGTAAACAAATTTTAAAAGTAATATGTACAATATGATTGAATACTTGTGTAAAATTTATTTATATGTTTGTAATTTTGAGCTCAAAAAGGATAACAAGCACCTATATCGAAAAACCAAATATTATCAGCAACCAAGCAAGAGATGTAACAAGATGCTAAAGGTTTCTTTTACTCAAGATGTTATAGGTGTGACAACGATTTATACAAAATTCAGTATGCTCAAAATTCCACACTTTCGAACTATGTTCAAAAGTAAAAATGAGATAGTTTTCAAGTGCAACCCATCTATGAGGCACCAATGTTGGAATGCAAAAGTGTGTCCAGTACAGTATAACTGATAGTTGCGTCAAGAAACATCAATCCTTAAACTGCCTAGAAAAGTTGGTTGAATTTAAGACAATGTTCTTCTATTGAAAGACTCCACTGTTATGTTGGCAGTAAAAGCAGGAATTGAATTCATTTTCCTAATGAATATATCAACCTGAAATGACAATAACAAGTATGACTCAGTAAAAGAAACATGAATGAATATCTGACAATGTAACAATTACATGCCCGATAGCATTTCTCTTTCCACACACCTATTCTGTTTTTGGTGTATAAAAGTCTACCTATATTTCTAGAGATGATAACAAATATTGCATATAATTGGACCCTTATACACATAAAACATTAGTAATGAAGTCCTCCAAAGGTTGTGACTCAAACTCTTGTACACACTATGAATGTATCTAAATATCCAATCAAATCTTTTCAACAATAGAAGAAATATCAGAGTTCATAAAAGGTGTAAATTATGCACACAAGATAGCATTCTATAAAAAATCATTAAAACATCTCTAGTATATATCTTTTGAGCATTAAATATAAATAATAATTTCTAGAATTAATACAAAATATTAAATAAATAATTATGCAAAAAAATCAATATTTGTGCAGAGATAAGAAAAATAAGAGTTTAAGATGTCAAGTATTTATTATAAATATCATGGCGTCCTTACCTGACGAGATACATCAGGCTGAGATGTGTAATGATTCACCTGTTATGAAAAAAAATGAAAACAAAAAAAAACTCAACAACTTTTCATGTCATCTTTTTGAAAAGCAAAAAACAAGCAAAGATTGAAATTGCTGATTTTTCTTTTCCAGGTTCCTGAACTCTAGTCCCTAGTAATTTTTTCACCAATTTTAGTCTTACCTTTGGTAAAAGTGTGTTCTTAGTCCCTACAAAAATCAACATATTTAACCCTTTAATATAATACAGTACCAAATTTAAATCTTACCAAAATATTGGTATTCCCTGATTCATATTCAAATTCAAGTTTTTCATCATCACTTTGTGCATAAATTGATTGCAACGTAAATCGTGTCACTGGGATTCCATTTGGTCGTTGGTGTTCATCCATCACAATCTGCCAAATATCGTTATTGACAACCAAATAAGCATTCCAGAGGTGTGAGCAAAAAGACTATTGTACAATCATTTGTCAGCTACTCCAGTTTGGTGTGAATTTTATTTCTCTAACTTCTATCTCTAGAATTTCAAAACTCAACAATGACCTATGTGTTATAAAAACCACCTTCCAACAGAAGCATGCTTCAATATTATTTGAAAACGTAGTGAGAGAGTGATTAAAAATAAACTCAGCATAGTGGTTTTACCCATTCCAAGTTACATGATTACCAGGAAGCTATAGTATTTTCAAAGCAAAGTGTGTGGTCTTCCAAAAATGAAATAAAACACAATTAGGTTCAGAACACTTCTAACTTATACTGAAAGATAGTGATAAAAAGATTGCGGTAAAAAACATCTGAAAATGCCAACCTTGTAACCAAAAATCTCACAGCATGCCCTCCGAAAAACTGAAATTCTGTCTGCAAACACAGTCTTGTATCTGTTTATGTTTCAGCATCTCTGTTATTCAAAAATCATTTTGATAACAACAAACACATAATATACCAAAAGTAGCAACTTATATACTCACCTCTCTTCTCGCTTCTCCAGTGTTGCAATTTGTTCTTTCAGTTTCAATATCTTATCTGAAATGTAGCTATCTACCAGCTTTCCAGTTTCTCCTAAACAGTTTCAAGGGATCAGGAAACAAGTATATTTTGTAACATTATCATTCACTAGTTAATAAGACAAAACAGGAAGTCGTGATCGCCCTCGAGGCCTTATCATAGCTTTAATATAAATCAAGCAATCCAAACACGATCCGCTGATACCAAACCAAAAAAAAAAAAATTCACTCATAGACTAGTAGGTTTAGGCTCAATCCTTCGGATAGCATATTATTTCTCTACACCCAGGGCTCAGCAAGCCCGGGTAGGACACTGAACTTTATAGATTACAACCATTGAAATTCATTTGGTCTTATTACCATTATAAAGTTGTTGATTTAAAACTAAGCTGATTGTTCAAACAGATCTCTCAAACCATAGTAATCAGTAAGCTAGAAGTTTGATGTCGTATTTTTAAAGAAAATGCTACATTTTGTTATGAACCTTCGTGTAGGACCCATTCTATAGCCTAAATGCAGAAGAATCCTTAATAAGGATTCCTTAAGACCTATAGTGAAAGTGTGAAGCAGACTCGTCCAACGGACCTTGACAGAACACCTCCAAGACTAACACAGATTTTTCTAAATTGTGAAAATAATTTTTTCTTAATTCCGTCAATCCAGGTCTTCCTTTTTAAAAGGCTATAGATAATAAAGAGATCTTAATTGATAAAAATCAAAACTGTTACCAATAAGGATTCTGTACTGAATCTTATCAAGATAGACACAATAATTTCAAATTTTAAAAGTGATAAAGTAATCAAAATCAGTCAATCCTAATTAATAAAAAATTAAAAAGGAATTCTAATCAAAGCCCTGTAGGCATACATTCTGCAAAAGGAATTGAGAACAATGCAATAAAAAAAAGAGTAGATATTGTAGAGCATCATTCTCTTCCATTCAGCCCTTATATTAATACTACAAATTTTCAAAAGCTTCGGACTACTCTTTTTCGCCAAATACTGATGCCTCTATTTTAGACTCTTTCTGAATCATAACATTTAGACCCTAAATTCAACTTTAATAACAAGGTTTCTTACCTGATTGACTCTTCAATTCTTCGACAGCTTTTAATTTCTCTTTTGTTTTCTGCAGTTCATTTTGCAGAGCTTCGATAGTTTGTTTGGCTTCGTTATCTACAGTAAGTGTATTTACCATCCGCAGAACTTTTGTACTAGCAGAAGAAAAATCTCCATGACCCAACTGTACAAGGAAAAACAATGTCAACAATCAAAACTGAAATGAAAACCAAAAACTGGGCAGCTTAGGTGAACGAATAGATAATACAGACATTAGAAATACAGGCAACTTAAGATTATAAAAATATACATACCAACACTAAAATGTTTTGGTGTTATTGTATGTTGGAGAACTGTTGGTAAATGAAAAAAAAAAAGTTCAATAGAAGCTGCTAGCTAAAAACAATGAAACCCTAGGTTGGTAAATGAGTAAAATATTTACATCATTCTTCATTAAAGTATCATGGAAAACCGTAGAGGGAATCCTAGAAACACATTCTTTGCGGTTGCTAGTCCTTAAAAAGTCAAACATTTATAGAAAATGGTCAATTTATGAGGCAACTAACTGAGTTTTTAAAAAAAGTGAGCCAAACATAAATAATGTGTTAAAAAGGTGTCTCGATATCATTTCTCAAACTACTTCAATGCTCGTATTGAAGACGCCACGAAGAAATAGAAGGGGCTTTTGTTTATGAAATGAGATGCAAAAAAAACAAAGAGCAACATAATATCCTTGAGTTTCTGTAAAAATTTATCCATCACCCACCTTTGCCTCTAATAATGATATCTCTGAGCGAAGCCGGTCACTCTCCCTCTCCAATGACTTTATTCTTCTTGCTTCATTGTGCAATTTATCGTTGAGTATCTTTATTTCCTCATGTTGGCGATTATTAACCACTCTCAGCTCGTTTAGGGTGCTTTCTAGTTCTTTGATATACTCATCTTTCTTCATAAGAGATGATTCAAGTTCCTAAATGGATCAACAACAAAAAAAACCAAGAAACATTTAGATATCACATGATAAGTTAAAAGTGACAAACAGATGGAAATACAACCTGAATGGGATTAGCACTACTTGATTCATCTCCAGCTTCACCATTCTTCAATTTGGCAAGAATTCTTAATTTGTTTCTTTCCTCTGTAACAACTGCAAGCTGCAAGACAACAAACATGTGATTGAAAGCACATACTGAAATTAACAGCAAAAAATGACTACATATTTGAGAAAATAGTTCTACTACACAATCACTACTATCATAGTCATTAATAGAGAATATGATGAGTCCTACTTCACATTAATAGCCTAGATTTAATTTTCAGTGATATCTTAGGATATGAAAGATCAGCAAGTTTTGCACTAAACTTCCACTGGCGAAAGTTGGCCTTTGAAATATCCTGGGTCTTGTTTTGCACTAAACTTCCACTGGTGGAAGTTGGCCTTTGAAATATACTCACCCGTTCTGATGGTGAGTGTGAGGCCAACTTCATTAGCCCAACTTCCACACCTCAAATATACTCACCTGTTTCATCTCACCCGAGCCCTATTCACCTCACTGATAGCCATAACTCCACCTCTCTACCATCTACAGCCTCCAGCACAATTGATCCAAATTCCCCTACCCAAGCCCCTCACCTCCCGTTCCCATTAATCACCATCCTATGATGACCCGTTCCAAAACTGGAAATCCTAGACCCCGTCAGTTTCCTACCCTACTCTTAATCACCGCATAACCTACTACTGAAACAAGCCCTTACCTCACCTCAATGGACTTAAGTCATGGAAACTGAGTATAATACTCTTATGACAAACAACACCCGGACTCTAACTTCACTACCCACTGGAAAGACTGTTGTAGGATGTAAATGGGTTTTTCGTGTTAAAGAGAACCCTGATGGCTCTGTGAACAAATAAAAGGCAAGACTTGTAGCTAAGGGTTACCTTCAAAAGTATGGTTGTGACTACACAGAAACCTTCTCACCAGTTGTCAAGCCCGTCACTGTTCGAATTATTCTAACCATTGCCCTCACAAACAATTGGCCTCTCAAGCAAGTTGATGTAAACAATGCTTTTCTTAATGGCTATCTTGATGAGGATGTATACATGACTCAACCTCCTGGTTTTGTCTCCAGTGATGCCTCTCTGGTTTGTAAACTTAACAAAGCAATTTATGGGTTAAAACAAGCTCCAAGGGCATGGTATGATCGACTCACAAAAACATTAATTAATTTTGGTTTTCAATAATGCAAGTGTGATCCTTCTTTGCTCATATTCAACAACAAGGGTTGTTGCATCTACATGCTTATATATGTCGATGATATTATCCTCACTGGTTCCTCACCTACTATGATTCAACAACTCATTACCAAACTAGACATTGTTTTCTCTCTCAAACAACTGGGTGATCTAGACTATTTTCTTGGAATTGAGGTTAAGCGCACTTTCAATGGTAATTTACTGTTGGTCTCAAGGAAAATATGCGAGAGATCTTCTGCAGAGAGCAGAGATGGATGGCTGCAAAAGTATTACTACACCTCTCCCTGCTGCAGTTAAACTCTCTAAAGCTGGTACTGATTTCTTTGCAGATCCAACACTTTACCGGAGCATAGGTGCTCTACAATATGTTACAATCACCAGACCTGAACTCGGTTACTCTGTGAATAGGGTGTGTCAATTTATGTCTCAACCTCTGGTTTCTCATTGGTCTGCAGTAAAGAGAATCTTAAGGTATCTTAAAGGTACAAGTGATTGTGGATTGGTGTTCAAACCAGCTAATTTTGCTGCTCCTATTCATGTCAGAGCCTACTGTGATGCTGATTGGGCAGAGATATGGATGACAGACACTCAACTTTCGGTGCTTGTGTATTTTTGGGACCTAACCTCATCTCTTGGTGGTCTAAAAAGCAAACTCTTGTTGCCAAGTCTTCTGCGGAAGCAGAAAATCGCAGCCTTGCTCTTGCACCCTCTAAAATTCTTTGGGTTCAATCGTTGCTTAAAGAATTGTGTTTGCTATTCCTACTCCTGTTATCTATTGTGATAATCAAAGTACAGTTGCTCTTAGCCACAATCCTGTGTCGCATTCAAGGATAAAGCATATGGAGTTAAGCATATTCTTTGTCGGGGAAAAAGTACTCAACAAATCGCTAATAGTTGAACATGTTCCTGCACAGTTTCAAATTGTAGATATTCTCACAAAATCTTTGGCTCGTCCTCAGTTTTGTTTCCTTCGAGACAAACTCAGAGTGTCAAACACCACTGAGTTTGTGGGGGGAGTAATAGAGAATATGATGAGTCCTACTTCACATTAATAGCCTAGATTTAATTTTCAGTGATATCTTAGGATATGAAAGATCAGCAAGTTTTGCACTAAACTTCCACGGGTGGAAGTTGGCCTTTGAAATATCCCGAGTCTCGTTTTGCACTAAACTTCCGCTGATGGAGGTTGGCCTTTGAAATACCTTGAGTTTTATTAGAATAAGTAAGGCCAATTTTAATTTAATAGAATAAGAAAGGTCATCCTTAAATGTAGAACTTGAATGTTCAACTTTTCTTGTATAAATAGAGCATCATGCTCCATTCCAAAAATCAATCAAAAACAGTTTCACATTATATAAACTTCTGAATCTATTAGTCATGCAGCAACAGTTTAAAGTTATTTATCACAAATAGATTTCCCAAAATTTTAGACCGTTACTGTCCCAATAATAACCAACTTCAGAAAAATACACCAGAAGCATGACAACATAATCAAAGTGATACTTTCACTTGCACAAAATAATCTGAGATTTTGAGAAACTGGAAAGAAGTTTAAATGAATTAACAAAACTTTCAATTAAATCAAAGTAATACTTTCATACTTATGTGTTGAGTACGGATGTCTTGTACAATCATTAACAAGGATGTTAGCATGTAGCATATAATGCAAAGTTTCAGACCACAAAAAAAGGTGTCTATAGGGTAAAACCCTTTTTTAGATCTCTAAAACAAGAAGCATATAATAATTAGGAAATAGGATATTCTGATGCTTATCAAGACAAGTTTACATATTTAAGTTTTATACAAAAGCCGTCAAATCATAAACTGATATCTAAGTGCTTCATTTTCATTAAAAAAAAGTGAGTTCACAAATCTCCAAGAGCTGTGTTTGCATCACTTGAAATGGGAAAACTGTTTAGGAATAACCTCGACAAAAATCAATTATATTACAAGGTTTACAAACACTAAAATAGTAATATTAGAAAATTACTAATAAGAGTCCCATCTCATTATGTAGGAGATACTAAATCAGAATAGATATATAGCTCTTGAATAGATTATAGTATCCCTAAATAGAAGATATACTTTCCAACAAGTGCCCTGATAGAACGTCTTTGTAAACAATCAATTTATGCTGCCTGTACTTAAAGAAGAAGCTACAAGACCAAGGCTGAGGGAAACCGCATATTAGTGTATCACTCAACATGTTTGCTTTAGTAATTCATATATTTGCTGGTGTGAGTTGCAATGAAAATACACATGCATCTTGTCACATTGTCATAAGATCTTTCCTTGGAATTATGTGTCGACGTAAGCCTTGTAGCCCAAGCGCCTCTTAACAAAGGTGTGTCCAATCTCCGATATGTGTTAGTGTCTGACACCGACACATGTGATTACATTCAATATATAGGTTTTTTTGAATTATTACCAGTGTCGATTTGTCAGTGTTGTGTCCGTGCTAGTGCTTCATAGGACGTAAGTCCATTCTAGACGTGAAATATAAGCTGTCTCCTCAACCTAGCATCTAAACACTTTTCGTGATATATCTTAAATTCAGCCACTGTCAAACTCCTTCCTACCGTAAGCCTAACTATCTTCCTTATGACTTCTACTTTCTTTGGGGGGCTCCAGATCACTGAACACCATTAACTAGTAGCAGGAGACTTGTCCATTAATTAATACCAATATGTCTTTATGAGTATCGCTTCACCAGTCCTCTAAATGCAAGTCATACACTAGCCTTGGTATCCAGTATAACAAATAATAAATTCAAGATTTCAAAATGGCAATGGAATAATGCATGATATAATTATAAACCATGTAAAGAATAAGTCAAGTTTTCAGTTATTGTTATTGCATAACTAACTTCTAAACAAACACTGACCGTTAATTCAATCTGTTTAATCTCTGATTTTAATACTTCTGCTTTCTCTTTGGCCAACACAGCCTCAGTTTCGGCATTTTGTTTACCAATCTCAGCAGCATCCAAAGCCACCTCCAGTTGTTTCAAGCGACTACTGCCTTCACCCTCCTTCTGTGTGCTATAAATTGCCTCTCTGCATATATTTATATATATATATAAAAGATATCGAGATTTAAAAACACGTGCCTACTCCTGACCATGTAAAGCAGCATCGCTATCTCTATTCTTGCTGCACTAAAAAAACCCGACAGAAAACCGATCTCAATATGAAAGGATCGTAGGCTATACAGACATATAACAACAAAAATGGATGATATCATGCACATGAACGGATGCAAAATGCAGAAGTTAGTTTTTCTCTATTGACACGTTTAAGTAGGGTCGTTTCTAAACCCATAAAAGGAAAAAGTAGTGTCACATCACATGGAACATTGGCAGAGAAAAAAATATAACTATGAGGCCAGTATGATATTTTCTCAAATAAATGAACTTGTGGTGCTCATAAACAAAATGATCAGCCGGAAAAGAATATTCCAGAGTTATTAATCCAGACAGTGACTTCAACAGCTCAAATATATTAAAATAGCAAAGCAAACAGAATTCAACAAGCTACTCACGTACTTCTGTAAAGCTGCAAATTTAGCAGGCATGTCCTCAAAACATGAGATGCCAGGTATGTCTTTAATCATCGATCTCCAAGATGATATTTGATCCTCTAACTTCTTCATATTTGACTGGACATCCTGTAATTTAGATAACTCTGATTGTGCCCTTTCACGGCGGCTCTTTTCCTCCAGCAGTTTCTCCTTCAAAAGCTCAACGCCCTCATGATTTGATTTTAGTTTTCTTGCTTCCCTTACTTCAGTTTCCTAAGATTTCAAAGTTAACTGGATGTATTACTCAGATTACCACTGGTGCGTACAAGTTTATGGTGAGAATGCAAACAGTAATTTTTAAGTGCAAGGGAGATAGGAGAAATGAGCCAATACGGTATTTAAAATTCGATGTTAAAAAGAAGGCCATGGAGATTGAGAGAATAAAATGTGAAGAAAAGCAGTCATAATTTATGGCACCAATCCATACAAATCCCAATAGATATAAGAAAGTAAAAAGACAATTCAGGAGTCAAGCCTGCCCAACCCTCTTCTTATATATATCCAGATCATTCATTAAAAAAACAACGACGTGCCTATTGAAGATAGAATAAAAAATGCCATTCCTCTCCATTCATGATCATGCCACTTGAGTTACAGCTGAAATTGGTCTACACATCAAATCATCAATGTATGCAACCTCACACAAGAACGATCAAAATAGAAAGTGGCACTGAGACTCGAGATAAAAAACAGCAGACTCACATAGTGTTGAAGCTCTTGTTGCAATTGCTTAACCAAAACACTACTCTCTGAAGAAGAACCTTGTTGAGATGAAGAAATTGCTAGTTTCTTTTCAACTTCAATCTTCTGGTGCAAACACTAGGAATCATGGTGTAAAGCAAACATAAGTTCATAAAACCACTGAAAAGAGAATAAGACACTAGAAATAAAATCAATCAGGAAAGTCTCTAGATGATAAGAAGCTAAACACCAAATCAAATTTAACATGGCAGAGTAAGCATATCTTAGTTTGAAGGTCAAGTTTAATTAAAACCCAATAAGCCACTAATTAGATATGCAAACCTCGTTGAATTGGTCCTGAAGATGGTCCAGTTGCTCTTTTAGCAGCTTTGCTTCTCTCTCCGCATTATTAGCTCTGCACTCCATTTGTTCAAGCTACAGCCAGAAAATGAAACAACTTAAAGAATGAGTCAAGGATGTAAATGACCATTAGTCTGAACAATGAACAACAAATATGACAAGTTACATTTGCAGTTATTCTAGAAATAGAAAACTTTGAGTCAGTTTCCAGTTGTAAATGATCATCCTGAACTCTCCTTTTATCTCTCTCTACGCTGTCTGAAAGACGGCCCAACCTCCCTTCTAAAGATGTTGCTTTCTCTTCAGCTGAAGCAGCACGAGACTCAGCTTTCATGCGAAGGTTAGTCTCATTTTGGAGCTTAACCTAAATTTCAGACGCAAAAGTAAAAGGAGCTTGAACAATAAATTTTGAAAGACTAATAATTCAACAAAGTTAGTAACATAAAAATTAGCAGGACCTGGAGTTCAGTGTTCAAGTGTATATGTTTTCTGAATGTTTCTTGAGAATCGGTAACCTCTTTCAAAAGTTGATCCTGTAGAGCCTTTTCACGGGCTTTTGCGGCAGCGAGTTCCTGTTCAGTGTACAAGAACTGGTCCATAAATTTCTTCTTGTCAGTATCTGTGAAATTTGAAAGTAAAAAACAAAGGTAAATAAGAAGATAGTGAGTGGTGAAATGAAAAGTAATAAGAGAAAGAAGCATATACGACCTACCAACTTTTTTGAAATTATCATCGAGTGTCTCCAATTGAGATTGATAATCACGAACTTGATTTTCAGCTTTAGTTAATGCATCTAGAAAATCCGATTTGACCTATTCGATAAGGAATTAGGACAAGTAAGATTAGAGCTAGAGGTGAAATTTTTGGAGAAGGAGAAAGGGGAAGAAACCATTTGACGACACTGATAGGTGCATAGCATGTGCTCGGAAACGGAGGGTTCCTCCGGTGGATCCTCGTAGATCACGACCTGGTGGTTAACCTCGGCCACGGCATCTGTATCAGCGTCGGCACGTCGCCTCTTTGGTGGAGGAGTTCTCAGCATCATTCTTCTTCGTTCACGTTGAGTTTCCCACAATACAATGCCCAATTTGAAATGGAAAAACCCACACACAAGGCGCAACTTTATTCAAGGTATCAAAACCCAAGGACACATAACTTCTCGACCCGAACATATCATCAGTTGGTTTCGTGGTGTAGTTGGTTATCACGTCAGTCTAACACACTGAAGGTCTCCGGTTCGAGTCCGGGCGAAGCCAAGTCATTTCTTTTGTTATAACTTGCTTATGTATTTGTCATGTTTGCCATTTAAATGAGTTTTTGATTGACTTCTACTTACAAATTGTGTCAACTTGCCTATGTGTCTAAAAAATTAAAAAAATACGGATTTGTTTTTTTTTCTCTTCTGGTTGTTCAGTTTTTTATTGTTCAAATTATCTTTAATGACCATGTTTATTTCCCTTTTCAAATGTGTTCGTTTACATTCATTCATGCTTATATGTTTTCTTCTTATTTTCACATCCACTCTTAACAAATGTCATACTAATTTCTAGGTTATTGTCCATTGATGTTTTTCTAATAAGGTTTTAAGATTGCAACAATTTAAAGATAATGTTCTGGGCCGCCTAAATACACAAATGGTTGAGACCCACTTCAATTAAATCCATTACATTTGAACCAATTTATAAAAAGTTATTTTACATGAAAATTAAGATGTATTTTTTAATCTCCACTTTTCACTACACTCATTTTGAATAATGAAATGATTTCGACATTGGATTGCTAATCTTGTAGATCCCCCATATACCATACTATCGGAGATCGACACCACTGGTTCTAGATTATTATTCAACCGATTGCATCTAATTCTAGTTCTATAATAGAATAGCGGTGCTGTCTGTGAGAAACGACTTCTAATTCCTGCGAAATCTCACAACCAGGTCAATCTCAAACTGAAATGAGATCTCTATCAGAAGCATAAGGATTTTAGGTGATAACTTCATTATCCATATCTAAGATATCCATCACGTCTTCCAAATTTATCGTTCACTAGTTATTACCGATTGAAAAATTCCACATTATCATGGGATCCAACGTTGTCATTCACCAAATTGCCTTTTACTCACGACGAACATTGGTGTTCAACGAAGCGAAGATCAATTGGAGTTAGGATTTAAAGGTCATGAAAAGATCAATGGAATTTCAAACTTTAATTTGCCTCTAATTCTCGCAGTCACCGTCGTTGATCAAAACCTGATAACATTCCTCGTGGATGACATAAGCTCTTGCAACATCCTCTACATGGACACATTGGACTGCTAGACATCCATCAAGCAGATTTGAATCCATATAGTGGGGGAAATATGTTAGCCTTTAACTACTTAATAACTCGTCATCATGGAGCGACATATATGTCATTGATGATTGGAGAAGGAACGCATGAAAGAAAGGTAATCCTCAACTTCCTTGTAATCACATGCATAAATGCCTTCAAAGGTATCCTGGGGAGATCCATCTTAGTGAAGCTAGACACAGTGGCATCACCAATCCACATGAAAGTAACCTATTACGATATAGAAGGAAGGCCGACCATTGTTAGCATTGACCTAGATGAGGCTAAGCAAATCAAAAAACTCATCCAGGAGAACATTCTTGCGTCTGCGCCAGGGGTAGAAAAATATTCGGGGATGTCGATACCTCTGACATATACACGTGCGAGGACTAAACTAGACCCACTACATATGGTGAGTTTGAATTTTTCTAGCTCGACAATAACCCTATGCGATCGGTAAGGATCAGATTTGGACTCCCTATGGAAGTAAGGTCCTTTATTCAGTTACTGACCATATCTTGTGTAATCAGTTGATTGAGTGACCTAAAATTTAGACTGCCAAACCTCAAATGCCATAACCAAACATGCTTGTGGTCGACAACTGTTTTTAGGCATATTACCTTAGTCGAACTGATCATGATCTTAAATGTCTTATTCTTAGATTTTAGGACCATATTATTCTGGGTGTCAAAAAGTTCCAAAGCTCCGTCTTTCATAACCATTGAGAAACCTTTTTCGACCAGTTTTGATCATAGGTTTTGCTTCGTTACTCCTTTAAATAACTATGTTGCTAGTACTTACTGCTTACAACGAGCTATTATCAACAAGTTTGACATTGCTCATCTTTGACTCGTCGAAATATTATAACCATACTCTTTGACCAGTCATGTGATTCAAGCAACATGTGTCGAGGAACCAGATCTTGGAGTCGACGTGCTTATCAACAACTGCATCCATAACCGTCATATCTTCATAATCATATGAATTTTGACGTGCAAGGTTTACTCCTTCGTCCTTGCTTCTTGTCGCTCCCTTGTCTTTCTTGTATCAAAAATTCTTGGCCAAATGACATCACCTTTCACAATTATAACACTGCACACCTTTTCTCTCTTATTTGTCTTTCTGATACGAGGTTCCTTCTCCTCTTTTGGAGGATTTAGAAGCATTATCATCGATCTCATGCTTTTAAGGGTTCACCCAAGACTTCTTGCTTTGAGTCTTGTCTCATTTGCCTTGGAACTTGTTGGAATCACCATGCTTCTTATATGTTTGAACATGTAGTGCTTGTATCCAATCTTGAACCCATTTCCTCTCGATAATGTATAACTCGTGTGCCTCCAACGAACCAACCAAATTTTTTAATTTAAAGGTTTAAAAATTGTTGGATTTTTTATTGGCTACGATAACGTGATCAAAATGAGAGATCAACATACACATTACCTTATCAACTATTATCTTATCAGTTAGGACTTCACCACAACCTTTCATGAGATGGACAAGATTTTACACCTTCGAGACATAGCCTACAATCTTTTCATCTTCTCTCATCTACATTCATACTGCCATTGCAATGCCTATAACTTGACTACTTTAACTTTCTCACCTCCTTCATAATACATGATAAGAATATCTCATGCCTCTTTTGTCAATTTAGCATGAGAAATCTGATCAAAATTCACCGTAGCTATTGCAAATTGAATGCATAAGACAACCTTGCAATATTTCTTCTTGACATCATTATGAACGACTCTCTGAGCATCTATTACAATATTATCAAGCTCAAAAATGCCATTAGTAACCACTTATAGGATTTCATGGAAACCAAATAATGATCATATCTATATACTCCATCAGATCCAATTTTTGCCATCAAGAATTGGAAGAAAGTCAGGAATATTGTTGCTACTGATCAGTGATATTTGCACAGTTATTTATCGTTAATTATAGTTTTTTTTCTTTTGTTTATTGTCAAGTGTTTTATTTCATTTTGCCGCTTTTTATGTGTTGATTTTGTGTTTGAATGTTTTCAGGTTCAAAGAAATAAATCGGGACAAATCGATGCAAAACTCAGAGTTTCGAAAGAAATACAAAAATCACATTTCAGGAGGCCTAACACGGGTGGTCGTGTTGCCTAACACGGGCCGTGTCAGGAGGAAGACTATGGCGCATTAAAAACTATGGGATGTCAGGGGTGCAACACGGGCGACTGTGTTTCCTAACACGGGCCGTGATGCAACCCCTGAGACTCGAATTTGATAATTAAAAGTTTGAGGGACACTATGGGAGGCTGTGTTTCCCAACACAGTTTATGTTGGTCTGCGACACTGATTTCTGATCTTTTTCTATTTTGCCCATCTGTTAAGTTGTAGGGGCGTTTTGGGTACTTCCAACCGACTTAAATGAGTTTTTGCTATTTAGAGAAGTTTCCACGATGAACTGAAGGACTTTTTGCGGGCAAAGAATTTGGACGATAGAAGAGAGCAACATATGAGATTCTTGGAGGACAAAGATTTTTCATGAGCCGCAGCGATTGAAGATCAAAGTTCATCATTTACCTGTAATGTTTAACCTTTGTATCATTGAAATTCTTTTGAACAATATGAGTAGCTAAACCCCCCAGTGCTAGGGGGTGTCTCTGATTTGAATTTGTAATGACTTTGAATTTCTGATTTTATCAATTCCATGGTTTTTATTCTTTAATTTAATCATGCAATGTTTTTATGCTTTCCTGATCTGACAAATTATGATTGATTTACGGTTAACAACCAGTTGGACCGTGGTTGTTAAGGTTTTTATACGATTAGACTATAATAGATATCACCTAGGACTAAGGATACCCTGTAGTTACTTGTTAACTCTTGATAAAACAAAGGCTTGATTTCATCATAACTCTCTAAGGACTTAACATTTAGGATGAATGTTAAAAGGTTTTCCCACTAAGGACTCGGGGGAAAATCACCTAAAGGGCTGGTAATTGGTATTATGAACTTGTTGAAGAAATCAGAATTCAAGGTTGTTACAGAGTAAATTACACACCACACCCTGACATGCTCCTCATATTATAAAAAGCCAATTTATATTTTTGCTAATTTTATAGTGACAATAACAAACTAAAACTCCAATTCAAGTTTTTGTTTGATTGAACCACACACCGAACTCGATATTGATACGCAGTCCTTGAGATTGATACTTTAGGATCTCCTATTGTTACTATATTGGCGAATTAGTAAACTTGCTAATTTATCGATCAAGGTTTTGGCGCTGTTGCCGGGGACTGCCAAATTATCAAGTTCAATTTTAGTTCAATTAAAATTTTGTTGCTTTGCGACTAAAATTTTATTTTCTGTAATTTTTATCATTTTTGTTATTACTGATTTTTTCTAACCTTTGCATGCGAGGAAAACCCTCATATGAATTTCCTTTTGACACAGAGATAGAAAGAACCTTTCATGCAAGGCAAAGACAAGCTCGGCTAGCCAGACTAGCCTCCGATGAAGAACATTGAGTTCATACAGACTCAGATTCAGAATCAGAATATGGAACTATGGGTAAAAGTTCTCCACCACCAGAGAGACTTCTTGGGGACTACAGAGGAGAAAATGCTCTAGCAGGCCAGTTGACTATTGTGAGTCAACTAGTTACTGTTACAAAATTTCAGCTGCACCCTTCAACCATCTGCCAGCTCGAGAGCAGGTCTTTCACCGGAAATATAAATG